AATAATAATGTAAGAACATAAGGGAGGAAACTGCAGCGGGCCTATTGGCCCATACTGGGCAGTCCCATTTACACCCAACCCCAATTGCTCATAAAAGCATCCAACCTTCACTATCCAGCGTATCGAGTTCATGGTGATATTTGGTAACTAGTTCCATTCATCCACTGTGTTTACCCGTTTCGCGCCTTAATCTAAATTTGTCAAATTTAAAACCATTGTTACGAGTCCGCTCCTGGTTGGATAGTTCGAGTACCTTTGTAATGTCCCCTTTGTTTAGCCCTGACTTTCATTTATACATCTCTATCACGTCGCCCCTCGCTCTACGTCTCTTGAGGGAGTAGAAATTAAGAGGCTTTAACCTGTCTCTGTACTCAAGGTCCCTAATGCCTGGGATTAGTTTTGTCATTCTCCCCTGGATTCTTCCCAAGGATTCTATATCCATTCTGTAATACGGTGACCAGAACTGAAATGCGTAATCCAGGCGAGGTCTTGCAAGCGCAAGATATAATCTTAGGATGACCTCGCTAGTCTTGTAACTCGAGTTCTGTCAAACTAAAAATCTCATTAGTAACGTCGAGGAAGGTAACAGCGATCACAATGAAATCCGAGTCAAATTATAATTTAATGGTAGTCGGAAGGAAAATTCCATTCAAGTCCCAGATTTCAGAAGGGTAAAATTTGATAGTTTGAAATGGCAGCCGAGAGAGTGGGGCATCGCGTTTGGGGATGAATTACATTAACCCTCGTGAGGCGACCTTACACAATTTACTCGCCGAGAGCGACCTCACTTTACTTGGGGACCTGACAACGATAACCTCAAGATATGGCGGTTAGGGAGGACCTGAACACGATCGGAGTTAATGGGTTCCACAACAATTTAAATAAGGAGTTAATGTACAAAAGCAGAACATACGGATAGTTATGCATTTGCATATTTTATATGCAAATGCATATTTTGCGTGATTTCTATGATAAGTGCATATTACCTAAATAACTGCATATAAATGCATATTTTGGTAAAATATTCATCTGGCAGTATCTCTTTGTTGCCACTGAATGAGCACACGTGGTACTGGGAGGTGAGGTGAGGTGAGGTGTGGTTAGGTGAAGTGAGGCGAGGTCACGTCGCTTTAATCTGTCGTTTCCACACCTGGTCATGACTCATTGGACTAGTGAGTTAGTCAGTCGCAGTGCTGCTGTGTGGAGCTACTCTCTTCTGCTGCTCGTGAAAATGCCGAAAGTACAAAGAAACCAAAATGAAGTGCCGAGATCATATGTAAAGGAATTTGATGCATTTACTACTGATGGAAGTGTACTGTTTTGTAAATATTGTGAAGCACCAGTGACAGCGAGCAAGAAATTTCAAGTCCAACAACACCTTAAAACAAGCAAGCACATCCGACTCGAAGCTGTTAAGTCCAATTGTGCACAAAAGGAGCAACAACTACTTCTTGCATGTTCCAGTAAGTCGGGGCCTGATCGTTCCCAGTTCAACGCAGATTTGTGCAAGGCATTTGTTTCAGCGGATATTCCATTGCATAAACTGAATAACAAGTGCCTAAAGTCATTCCTGGAACAGTATACTGGATGCTATTATTGACGAGACGGTACAGCCACTCACTATGTCAGACCTCCTAT